CTTTGCACTCTGCATAGTCTTCTTTGGTCATTGTAATTCCTGGGCTGTTCCATATAGGTACATGCTGCATTTGGATGTATTCCAAGCCAAATCAGAGCTGAAAGAATGTAGATAGGTTTCTCCCAAGTGGCCTGAATCTGAACCTGCCTAATTTTTTATGAAGATTCTCAGTCATCCAGGTCATGGTTGTCCCAAAGGTGCTTTTTTAAGAGGCAACTGGACTTTCTGGTTTTTCTTTGAAAGCGTTTCGCTTCTCATCCCAAAAGCATTTCGCTTCTCGTCCTTCTTGGATAAGAAGCAAAACGCCTTCAAAGATCAAAACAGAAAGTCCAGTTGCCTCTTGAAAAAGCACCTTTGGGACTGTCTAAAAGTTTTGTTAATGTTTCTGCAATTCAGAGCGACACAAAGACACTGCATGTCAGCACAATTGAATCGGATTGAGCCTACAGAGGAAAAATACAACTATTTTAAAAACTCCAATGGATGGCACAGAAATTTAAATTTCTTAAATTCGGGAGATGTACAGATAGTCCTCAACCTGTGATCAAAATTGAGTCCACAATGGGTTGTGTGTGTGTGTTGCAACGGGAGTCATCACATGACCAGACCCAATTTTATGGCCTTTTTTGCAGCAGTCGCTAAGTGAACAGCGCAGTCATAAAGCAAACACAGTTGTAAAATGAATGCAGCAGTCATTAAGTGCACACCATGGTCGTAATGTGAAGCCATTTGTCAGAAACCAGAAGTAAACCCTGGTTTCTGGCAAAAACATGGCATTTGTGGTCAAGTGGCTGCTGAGTGCTGTAAACGTAGTCTGGCTTCCAAGAGCCCAAAATGCAGTCATGTGGACATGGCGGGAGGGTGAATATTGGCATTTGGGTCATAAGTAGCTTTTTTAGGGTTTGTCATAATTTTGAAATTATGAATTATGAAATTCATAATTCAAATTATGAAATTTGAAACAGTCGTATGTTGAGGATCACCTCTATTTAGCCACAGATTGCTCAGACCTGCTCTATTAGACTCTTACTAACTTTGACCGGAAATCATAATAACTTGTCCAAAAAAATTAATCCCTCTTGTAATCCCACAGCTGGTGGGAGAATGGGAGTCACAATCTAGCTCACTTCCTTACATGTCACTGGGCTGATGAAGGCAGTGGTGGGATTCAAGTAATTTAACAACCAGTTCTCTGCCCTAATGATTTCTTCTAACAACCAGTTTACCAAACTGCTGAGAAAGTTAACAACCGGTTCTCCCGAAGTGGTGCGAACTGGCTGAATCCCACCACCGGATGAAGGCCCATCATGCGGAAATTTAATACAACAGAGGTGATAAGGAGCAGGGCAGAAACTTGGAAACTTCCAAGGCTTCAGACCAACAATCAAGTAATAGCAATAACAATAGCATTTAGACTTATATACCGCTTCACAGTGCTCAACAGCTCTCTTTAAGTGGTTTACAGAGTCGGCATATTGTCCCCAACTATCTGGGATCCTCATTTTACTGACCTCGGAAGGATGGAAGGCTGAGTCAACCTTGAGCCTGGTGAGATTCAAATTGCCGAACTGCAGGCAATCAGCAGTCGGCAGAAGTAGCCTGCAGTACTGTACTCTAACCACTGTGCCATCACAGCTCACGATACTCCAAACAAGGAGCTGCCAAAAAAGCCATCAGTAAACAGCCCAACCAAAGAATCTCTAAGATCATCCCCACCCATACAGACAGGCAAGACACCAGAATATAAACTGACAGCAAACCACACTCCTTAATAGCACTGATGAGGTTCCCTAGTTAGGGTAATGAAACGTCTGCAAGAAAACAAGCTCAGAGAGCACCAAGGACCCCTCATTTCAACCCTGAGCTACAAATATTCTCCTTTATTGGTACTTCTCTAGTTTCCTAATGGGTGAATAAGAGAAGTCAACTTTAATGTCCTTGTTCAGGAAAAGAGGATTTTTGTGATACTGATCAAGAAGCTCAAATATTTACCTTTACAAGGGCAAAGGCAGGGATTCACAAAGGGGTCCTAATTGCCTCTCCCATTCAAAGCCTAACAGGAATTCTCTCCCCCTCTCCTTTCTATTTCTATAATAACAGATAACATTTTACTGTATTTATTGTTTTCTCGTCCCTGTGCTTTGCTGCTTTCAGATGCCTGTGAATTGAATATTAGTTAGACTGTGCCAGGAACAAGGAAATGCTAAGAAATATCATGGAATGATATGGGATGAAAGGAAATTTTTTTTCAGATGCTTTGGATACATCTCGGATGGAGAGCCATGTTGGCTGGAGCTGATAGGATCTTCATCTGAATGCAGCTGGATGACACAGTTGCACCTTTGGAATATTTCATTCTCCCCTTTGTTTTGCCAAAGGATTTATTTTCAGACACACACCCCTGAAAAGTGTTCACGAGCCACCATAAACGAGAATATTTCTGTGCCTACAGAGAGAAGATGCTTTTGTGCTACTGAATAGTTCGCACCAGTATCTGTGCGTTCAAGCATTTAGAAGTGGAACCTGAGATGAGAAAGGTGCTGGATTCCATGGTAGTTTGAAAAAAAAAGAAAAGAAAAAATTATAATGACTGAAATGGCTTACCATTCCTTGTGATGGAAGATACTGTGTTACAATTGTGTTCAGCCGAGTGGATAAGGATTTCTGCCGGTGAGATCAGAGATTAAGCTTGATCAATTTCTCAGAGCCAATGGCTCAGGGTCAAAGAAGGAAGGGAACTTAATTGCAACTCTACACTTGTGATATAAACAGCAGCTGCTGGGGACAATCCATGAATTGTACCCATTTAAGAGAGTCCTGTGCTTGCTTCCAAAGTGATTCAGAGGAACCGTTTTTCCCCTTGCACGTGGGCACACACAGCACATCCCTACTATTAGTTGGAACAGCCCTACTCTTTCTCAGGGTTCAGAGTTGCACCAATGAGTGGATTCTATAAAGCAGCAGCACTTTTTCTTCAGGCATCTCCAGAAGTCTGAAAAAAGTTGGATTGCTTTAATGCAGGGATTGCCAACCTTGGTGACTTTATGACTTGTGGACTTTAACTCCCAGAATTCCTCAGCCAGCAATTCTGGGAGTTGAAGTCCACAAGTCGTAAAATCACCAAGGTTGGAGGCCCCGGCTTTAATGAACACCAGAGAGAGGTAAAACTCACACAAAATTTGCTATAAAGCAGGATCTGGCATGACATGGTAGGAAAAATAAGATGTCCTTCCAGGATTGGGATTAGGGTTCTTCACACGTGCCTTGCGTGGCCTAGAAGTAGGGCTACCAGCTATTCCTTTGAGTGGGGTTCCTCTGCATTAAAATGCAGAAATGCTTTGAAATAGCATTTGCCACCTCCCCCCACTCCTTCTTCTTCTGCTTTTAACGCTAAGCAATCCTTTGCAAACCTCAAGAGAAATAACTTGACCTGTCAGCCAATTTACAGTATTTATTTTTTTAGGCTATTAACTCTTTTCCATTTAACTGATTATCATACATATTACATTTTTCTCCAGCACAGATGATGGTACGGTGCTTTTCAATCAAGACAGTTGCTTCTCTGAACAATTCAACACAAATAATTTATTGCTGGGGAAATCCTCTCCCACACATTGCTTAAATTGGAATCTGGAGAGGCGCAGGAGTCTTTCACACAAACATAAGTGGAGGGCTGAGTCATGTTTGATAAGTGGACAGAACCAGTAAATGTGCTTTTTTAAAAAAAAAAACAATTATGGACAACAAATACAATGATAGAATATGCAGGTCAATGTGCTGGCTGATATTTTCAGGATCAGATCGCATCAGTCTGTGGAGAACTAGTTTGCCAAGCCAGAGGTGGATCTTTAAAATTATTTTATTTTTTTTATTTATTTCCAATTTCTATACCGCCCTTCTCCCTGAGGACTCAGGGCGGTGTACAGCCAGAATTAAAAACATGCAATACAAATATTAAAAAACAATTAAAATATATATAAATTTGGCCCAAAAATTAAAAATCACAACCAATTAAAACATTTAAAAATTACCCTTAGAAGGTAAATATTGAGACATGAAATAGTTAAGAAATGGACATTTCCTGCATCTAAGTAAAGAGAAAGAATCAAAAATCATGAAAGAAAGGTTTTTAGTGTGATATCTGATGCTAACATCTCTACCAAGTAATGCTTTAATTTTAAGCATTAAAAAAGTCACTCAGCAAATTGTGTAGATATCATGTAAAGGCAACTCTCATCCTCCATAATTGTTTATCCATTATTGTAATACTAATTATAGCCAAAATATCATGTAATAAGTCACTCTAGGTGAACTGAGGCATCCAAATGCAATGGAAGGTCAATTAACCCTAACCTGTTATTTACAACTTTTTTCCCCACCTTCCAACACAAAGCTGAGATTAGATCTAGATGCAAAACATTATAGATGTATGTCCTAATCTTGGTGTCCTCTAAATATTTTGGAGTATTACAACTCCCACAACTCCCTACTATTGATGTGGAAGCATCTATGTTGCCTATTCATTTAATTCCCTAACTCCTATTGCTAAACAGAAACTGTTGCCGTTCGAAACACGTGTATTGTTTAATTTAATCTAGTACATCCTAGATTTGAGCAGAAATAAAGCAAGATGGTATCTAGACATTTGAAGCAAGGTATTTCGGTTCCTGAGGGAGGTGTTTTGGGTGTAGCGTCTTTTCCATCCCTATTTCTGTCAGTAAATACGGCAAAATAAATCTTAACATTGGTACAATCTGTTCTTGACAAAGGGGATTTCATGATGACCAATTTTTTGTCCTGCCCTTCCCATATATTTTTTACTTCACATCCATCTTGTAGAAAAGTTCTGAGTAGGTCAAAAACTTGATTATTTTTTGTAACTTTTTCAGTTAATCCTCAGAAAGGAAGTATTCTACCAACTAGCCAGAAGCTAAGCTCTCAGCAAAACTAAAGTTTCTTCCCATCATTGACACTACATAAACTAGGTAATCATCACTCACCATAGTAAAGTCTTCAGGCCTGCAAATTTCCCCACGATATCTACAAGTCAGCATCATGTCCTCCAGCTGATGGCTGCTGCGGTCATAAAAGTTAAGCAGATTGAGGGGCTCCTCGGGTGCTTCAAAGCTAGGTGTAGCCAGTGGGAAGCCTGCTTCCAGGTAGGTGCCCACATCATAGCCCAAAAGCGGTGAAATATAAGACAAGTAATCGTAGGTGAGCTGAGACACTCGGATCCGATTGGTATTGCAGAAAGTAACAGCAGGGAAAGCCAGCTGTGGACTCTCCTGCTCATCCAGCTGTGTGATATGATGATATTCCAGATAGTAAAAAATTCGCCCAGTTACCTGGGATAAGAAAATGGACAGAGAGATCAGGAACACACCTGCCCAGAGGATCTGGCGGATTCCAAATCCATTCCCTATAAAGATATGGTTGGCACCATGCAAGGTGCAGCTGTTGGCAAAGGCTGCCAGATTTGGGGTTGTTCCTTCATCTTTCTCCCCTAGTTCTTCTTCCTCTTTGGAGTCCTTCTCTGAATCTTCTGGATTGTGCTGGTCATAAAGAGATTTGTCGTGATTACTTTCAGCAGGGCTCTTGATGGTGTGTTTCTCTTTGCTGGAGGAGAAGGAGATGGTGCAGAATATCTGGATCGGCATTCTGTCCTTTCTTGCCAGGTTTCTTCCGGTAGCCCCCTCCCTGGCTGGCCATTAACAGGACTCCCCCAGGATTTTTTAGTGCTGGAGGTCAGAAGTGAATCATTAGGGAAAGGGAAGGAACAGAAAGTGGCTGAAGTAAGTTTGGGAGATGCCAGAAGGAGGCGAGAAAAGGGCTCAGATTGGATGAAAGAAACAGGGAGAAGGAACAGGAGAAAGGAATAAAAAGAAGAAACGAGGCTGGAATTACGATGCCAACCAAGAAAATAAGACGGATCCAAAACAGAGAATTTGGAAGGTGGCCTGCTGCAAGGAGTGGCAGGAGGAGCTGATGACCATCTACTCCAAGGCAGCTTTGTGGAGTCTCAAACTCTTCCCAAACCCCTCCAGATCCAACACATGGAAGCAAAGATCTCGGAAAGCTTCAGTTCTCTGACCTTCTGCTCCAAAGTTGGGAATCCGTGGCTGTGCTGGGCTGAGTAGCCGTTCCCAGTCAAATTCTAGAAGACCAGCCTGGGTATTAGCGTACAGCCTACAGCAGCACAGAAGTCTGACCCAGGCGCCTTGGACAGGGCCTGTTTAATAATTCATCGGCTTCCTTGGTTTCTGTGTTGGGCTGGGAGGGGAGATGCTGAGGGAAGGACAAGCATCTCTCCTTCTCACCACCTCCTCCTCTTCCCCTCCCCCCTCACAACTCAGTGCCTACCGATGCCAGGCCCCTGCTGAACTGTTTCCTGCACCCAGCATGTTGCTGCCTCTTGCAGCTTTTGTGTATAGCTGGACTGAAAGGATGCAGGAATCTCTAAATAAAACTGCCTTTCCGATCTAAATCATGTGTTACCACCAGGATTGTCAAAGTCTCCGTTTCATCCTTGAAGTTCTACATGGCTGTTTTTCTGGACAGAGATGCCGTGAAACCCAGAACTGTTTTGAACCTCTTCGGATTGCAATTCACAGAAATAAAGTTGCCTTGAACGGGTGATCTTAGGAATTTTATTATATTCATAATTCAAACCAAAAGTTGCGATACCAGAATATCCCAGCAAAACCCTTTCCAGAACTACCAGCATTGCAACTCTCATAACTGGCCTTGCTAACTGGGTATGCTGGGAATTGCAAATCTCCTTAGCTTTGGAAAGCTCCATACTTGAGAAACCTGCATCATATGATCATTTACATGTTCCATGATGAAATATCCAAAGACTATAATTATGGAGACACTAATGTTAGCTGCTTTTACTTTGAACGTTTATCATATCATGTGGACTGAATTCAAGTTTATTCTCACTCAGTGCAATCTTCAGAGATGCCTGTCAAAATCTGCAAGGTGGCAGGCACAGCCTCTTGATTAGAGCCCTGATCCTTTTGTACATTTTGTGCTGCACCCATCAGTTTGCAATTTTTGACTCACCCATGGAGACCTTTCCTCCCATGCAATATACTAGACCAACCTGCGCCCTGTTGGGTCATCACTACATAGAGAAACAGAATGATTAAGGGTGGACAAAAATGTGGCAAGAAAAAGTCATAAAATGGGGCAGGACTACTCACTTAACGAATGTCTCACTTAACAACATGTATTTGGGCTCAATTGTGGTTGTAAGTCGAGGACATACTTTTGACTTTTGAGAGAAAAGGCCACAGGTAGGAAAGGTCATCACGCGTCTTTGATGGGCATGGCTGAGGGGAAGTTTGGAGCTGCCATCTTCTTTCCTTGTTCAATGGGAGTAAACGGTGACCATTTCTGATATGTTCTGCCAGGACCTCCCCAATGTCCTCTGGCTGGCTTGATGGGTGCTCTGCTCTTCGCTAACAAACAGAACAAATTCTCTGAATTTCAGATGGATTAGTAGCTTCTGTTACTAATGGGTCTCTCTTCAGTTTTTTTTTCCCTAGCTGAGACTCTGTGCTTTGAACTTCAGGAGCCGGTGGCTAGTTAAGGACTTGACAGTCCTTAACAATGATAGGAGAACAGGGCTTCAGCTGCTAAAGACAAAGGAGCTGCTTTCAAGGAGGAAAAGAAAGTTGCTGGCATCATTCATTGGCTCAGAGGTGGTATTCAGCCGGTTCGGACAAGTTCATGCGAACTGGTAGCAGAAATCGCAGGTGAGCCCGCCCAGCCGCCCAGCCTCTATGCCGTCCTATTTAGGCACGTTTTTGAGGCTGGGCGCATGCACGGAAGGCACACACGCGAAGCAAGTGTGTGTGCGTGGGGCAAACCGGTGGTAACAAAATGTGAAGCCCACCGCTGCATTGGCTTAGTAGCAAGAAGAAATGGTTCAATGGCATATCAAAGGCTTGAGTTCAGCTAATCAAAGAGGCTAAAAAACCAGATGACTCGCCCTGCTCTGAGTCTGGTAGTAATAATTTGATCTGTGGAAATCAGCAAGAGAAGCTTTTCATGACAGAGCAATAAGCATGAAAGTGGATTAATGCCTGCTGTTCAACAAGGTGCAGGAACAGGGACTTGAGAAAAAGGCGGCAAACTTTCGCCACCAGAGATTGAGGGAGCTGTCCCTAGAATCAGAAGGGCATATTCTGATGAGCTAAATGGGGGAAATAAATGCTCAGTAACAGTACAATAGTGTGCCAAACATTGCTGCTGCCTTTTTTTTTAAAGTGTTTTTTTTTAAGTGATTTTTTTTTTAAGTGTTTAACGTTCAGTGGATCTTTCGGACTGAAAAATGTGGACCATTGGCCAGATGCAATGGAGCCAGTAAAGAGAAATATTTGAAAATATAGGACCTCCCTTTAAAGAAAGGATATCTGGGGTCAGGATTCTCTCACAGAGAACTGCAGCTGCAGATTTGGGATTTGGGGCAATCAGGCAGAACAAAGTTATATAGGTAGCAGACGGCCTTGGCTAATGAAGGCGTTCCTCTCCTGCGCTTGCAATTTTCTCTTCCTCTCTTACCTTGTGGTTTCTTTGCCCTGCGCTCGGGAGACCATTAAGCAGCAGCCGCAGAGTAATTTCATGCCGCTTGGTCACTGCTGATCCACCTAAAAGGGGAGATGAGAACATGCAAGATGGACAGCTCTTTGGGGGCCCCCGGAGAGGGGATAGTGGGGAAACGGACTTTCTTTTCCGGCCAGTGCTAGATCAGCATAATCTGAACTCCTGAAGTGTCTTGGTGACTTAACTCTTTGTGAACTGCCTCCTTGGCCCTTTCGGCTGGAGACTCTTGGGTGCCACCTGCTGGTTATCATCAGGTATAAAATAAAGACACCCTTGAGTCAAGCTTTACGCTTGGTGATTACATTTGTGCCGTTTTGGTGGCAGTTATAAAGGCAATTTACTTACGGGCTTCTTCTTGGGTTAAATTTTATTTTATTTTAATTTTTTACTTTCCAGTCCAATTAGCAGCTCTGAAATTTCTAAGTGGTTCCCCCCCACCCCCCAATCCAAGTACTAACACAAACCGATCCTTTGTAGCTTCCCTAATCGGCTAAATTAGTAGGCATAGAAAAAAAGGAATTGGGCTTCTACAAATGATACTTCCTCGTGCAGCTAGATCACAATGGTCAGTGGAGAGTTTTGACTAAGATGCTTCTTTTTACTTAGAGATGTTGAGGATTATACTAGAGCTTCGGATACAGTTGCTCCTGGTTCTGTCTGGTTCTTGCAAACCGGTAGTAAAAGCGGTGAGAGGCTCCGCCCGCCAGGACGTCATAATGGATGATCTGCGCATGTGCAGAAGCTTCTGCTCATGTGCAGAAGTGCGTGCTCCTCTTGCAAACCGGTAGTAAAGGTAAGTAGAACCCACCCCTGTTTGGATATGCAACAATGCTCTGGCACCCAACCTTTGCAAACACACGACACTTCTGTTCACATATGGTTCAACTACAGCATATAGGCCTTTGGCATTTAGAGAAGTCCTGCTCAAATTTTGGGACTTCCAGTTTAAAGAAATCTTATTTATTATATTTACATGCTGCCCATCTTACTGTCAAATGACATTGGGTGGCTTACAACGCAGTAAAAGCAAGTACAGAACATTAAAACCAGGGGTGAAATGCACCTGGTTTGGACCGGATCGCCCGATCCGGTAGCGATGGCGGCGGGTGGTTCGGAGAACCGGTAGCAAAAATCCCTGCACCCCGCCCCCATGCCCAGCTTAGCCACGCAATCATCAGAGGCTGTTTTTTTTTTACTTTTAAAACCATTTTTTCTACAACCTCTTCAGCCGAAAAAATGCTTTTAAAAGTAAAAAAAAAAAAAAAGCCTCTGATGATCGCGTGGCTCAGCTGGGATCATCAGAGGCTTTTAAAAGCATTTTCTCTACAACCTCTTCGGCCGAAGAGGCTGTAGAAAAAAAAATGCCTTTAAAAGCCTCTGGCGATCCCAGCTGAGTTGCCTGATCATCAGAGGCTCCTGAAAGCATTTTTTTCTGCAACCTCTTCGGCTGAAGAGGCTGTAGAAAAAATGCTTTTAAAAGTAAAAAAAAAAAAAAAAAAGTTGGCCACGCCCACCCAGTCACATTACCCCACCACCACCAAGCCATGTCCACAGAACCGGTAGTAACAAATTTTAGATTTCACCCCTGATTAAAAAGTTAAATATTAAAATAAATAAAGGTTTAATAAGTTAATGCAATGCACTCTACATGGGACTACCCTTGAAGAGCATCCGGAAGCTTCAACTGGTGCAGAGCATGGCAGCATTTGCAGTTTTGGGGGCACCTAGCATGGCCCATGTTACACCACTGCTCTGTGCGAGCTACACTGGCTGGTGGTTTGCTTCTGGGCGCAATTCAAGGTGTTAAAGCCCTGTATGACATGGGTCTAGGTTACTTGAGGAATAGTTTCACCCCACTGGGACTGGTCTGCCCCACCCATACTGGCAGAAAAGGCAAGCTGTGAGCCCCATCAGTCAAGGAATTCTGGCTGGCGGGGTCCAGAAGGGCCTTCTCTGCTGTGGCTCCTGCCTTTTGGAGTATCTTACCCCCTTGAGGGGAGATTGGCTCCCACCCTTCTGACCAGTGGTGGTATTTAGCCGGTTCTATCCGGTTTGGGCGAACTGGTAGCGCTGGCGGTGGGAGGCTCCGCCCACCTGCTCGGACATCATCACATCGTGTTTTTGACACTGCGCATGTGCAAAAGGTCTTGTGCATATGCGGAGGTAACGCGTGCACTCACATTTGCGAACCGATAGCAAAGATAAATGAATACCACCCCTGCTTCTGATCTTCCATAAAGGCCTGAAGACCTGGCTCATCCCGATGTCTTGGGTCCCCAATGGAGGAGCATCACACTGGAGGTGGTTGATGAATTAAGAGCCAATCTCACCTCCTTCCTCCACACAATGCATCCTGCTCCCTCCCTCCCCATCTTTTAACTCACTATAATTCTGTTTTTCATTGCAGCTTCCATTTTTATTGTTTTAGAAATATTTATCGTTTATGATTTTAACGTTGGTGATGCTGTAAGTCACCCAGATTCTCTTTGAAACGAGTCGAGCGGCAAATAAATTTAATAAATAAAATTAAAAAAAGAAATACTCTGAGAAGGTGACAGCCTCTCACAGCAGAAAAGACTTGGGGCCCGGTGGACCAATGATCTGACCCAGGAACAAAGCAGCTAGAAATATTTCCCATGAAGTGCTTGGCTCAGCAGAGCAGAGATTAAGGAGCCTGGTTTAATGG